CAGCGATATTTGTAATCACAGCAGTCAAAATGTTGTGTACTTACGAGGCGCGAGAAAATAAAAAAAGTGATTTCAGCTCAATTCCGGGCACAGATCCAAGTATTCAAACATAGTTCATCCGTCATGGCCCAACGGCGATCACGAGATCACGGTAAAGTCTTGCAGGTCATTTGGCGCACGTTAAAACTTTCATTTGAGAAACGCTTTAGAGTCTAACACTCGTGCGTGTAGAGATTGAATTTGTAGTTCAAAGAATAAAATGAATAAAATGTTTATAATTTTCTGTCTGGTAGAAAAACTGAGATATGCTAGGTCCGCAACAAGAGTACTATCTCGTAACAACATACATTTGAATATAATCGCTAAGCCGATGACGGAGCGCGTTTTGGTCGTGATTACGTTAGGACTGTTTACACACAAATGCCATTTGTCACTGATCGGTATTGCCTCATAGGCTAAACTTAGAAATAACGGTACCTTCAAAACCTCCCAAAAGATGAGGAGACGGCACGCAAAATTGGTGTGACTGAGGGTGAACCACGTGTTGCATTTTACGCGCCAGCTCGGACGAGCGATATGTCTCACCACGGGGTACCTAGGCTCGCACAATAGGCCCCTGTCAATATGCAAATATGCGACTTTACGCTGCGCAATTGGCGAAAAATAAGAATTTGCTTGAGTAAAATCGGCTGCGTTCTCAACCTAAAAAATCTGAACTAGTTTTGAACATAAAAGCAAACTTACCTAACTTAACCCTATCGGTGCCAAGATCTTATTAGTAAATCTCTTCACTGGCTACTATACAATTCCTATGATGTTAGTTCAGAGAATTTGGTATTGGATCAACTAATTATCCCCCAATTGATGTTTCATTATTCTCATCACTTGTCAGCTTGATATTGTATTGATATTGTGAGGAGAAATTCTGACTTGGTCACTCTGGGAGTTAAAAGGTTGTTGTTTCTTTGCATGTTGTGACTTTTCTGGGCTGAGTTAGGGCCGTTAGGCTCAGATTCAGTTGATCAACTGCGCCCTTCCATATGTGACGGTTAGGTGAGGGGAGGGGAGGGGGGTCATCAGGGTTTAACTTTTCTGATGTACAGAGTAAAAACACCATCACTTGTCTGGTAGAGAAATGCTATAATTTTATTATGCACTGTGCCAACATTTTACAAACATCCACACACTGGTGCAAATTCAATATCTAAAGTTACCTTAATATATGCCATGTACTGATAAATAAGTTTCCTGTTAAAATACAAACTTTTGAAAATTTACTTCATACTTTTAAGTTCTTGTCCTGTAAAAGACTACATATCATTAACAGTTGTAGAAGTACTGTAGCCATACAAATACTTCTGAAACACTTTCAATACCTTCAAATTACAGTTGAGTCTAGACACATCTTTGTGCCTTATGAACTTTCCAAAGTAGTACAAATAAATAGTGTTTCAAAAGACTGAAAAACATTGTATTTAAAGACTCTTTTGTGCTTGAGCTATTAGCTCCAACAAGAAGGTGTTCTTCAGCAACTCAAACCCAATAATAATTTCCACACTTGTAGCCACTTGTAGCCATAAAATTCAAGTTTGGGTTTTCAAAAACAAGGAAAAATATACTAAATGAAAGCAAAACTGTCAACAGTAATTAGATCAAGAAGTCTTAGCAGAGATCACCTTTAAGTTAGTAAACCTGACTATCAAGGTAAAAACAAAAGTTAAAGCAGATTCTTAAATTTCTGGAAACCCTTCTACAGTATTTTAACATTTAATTGATAAGAAAGGGCACTATTTCCAGACAGGGTCCTGTTAAGAATTTCCTCAAAGCATGGCAACATTGTCATTGGAAATGTGAACAATCTAAGTGTGAGCAACATAACACAAATATCAAGTTTTAGGATCAATATCAGTATCTGGGCAACTGCACACCTACCCCTCTCCTAACCCAACATTCACCCTGACTTGTTATCAAAAGTTTTAAATATAATATATGAAACTGTAAGCCAGTAAAGGGGTGTTTAATATCGTGGAGATGATTTAACCACAGCAGGAACAATCATTCCAAGATATGACTTTACCTAGGATCATGCACTACTCACTAAAAATTAGCAATGGTTTTTTTTTCCAGTTGCTACCTCTGACAATACTTTGAAAGATTACGATCACAATATCAATTTACAAGCTCTGATACAACTAAAGCTTAAGTTAACCAAACAATGAAGTTTCCCTTTTCAGCTCATTCTATGCTCATTTGATGTGCATCCTTACTTGAAGATGAAGGCATGCTGTAAAAGGGGAGGTGCCTTAAGTACCTCTGGATCATTTGTCAATCAACTGTTGAGGCATATGGACCACTACATTAAAAACAGCTTTTAGCTGTAGCTGATCCAAAGTGAGTGAACAGCAGGTAGACTTCTCAAAAGCTCTAATAAGTTTCAAAACTGTCTTCATTTGTGGC